GCGGAGCTGTGCTAAGTCACAACGCAAGCCATCATAAAAGAAGAAGAACATAGTTTTCATAATTTTCAAGATTGTGACTTTATCAAAAGTTCCTGAGCCTTTTTTCATAGAAATTATGAATATTCAGCCATTTACCATTTAATATTACTAAGTACAGTATTTATGCATTGCCAGGGCAGTCGCTCATACAAAACTTTACCATGTCCTTTGGCAAGAATATTATTAATAATCATAATCTTTGACGCCAAACTTAGAACATCTGTGTATAAGTTACTCCCGTAAATATAACTGTTAAAAATTATATTCATCCACTTTTTTATTTTAAAATCATACAATTTTATTATTCAAGTGTCGTGACAGTTTGTTGTGATAAATTTGTTAAGATTAAACACCTATATAAGAAGATTTGGTCAAATTAAGTTGTTTGGCGCGGGTACGTAAACAATCGGCTGTAATCATTGCACATTGTGTCATTAATAGTGCTTAGGCGCACGGGCTACATTTGCGTGGCACGCTGTTGATGCTGGCGTGAGAACCGGCTCGTCAACGGCCGTTGATAAGCGCAGAGGCGACATTAGGCACTATACTATTAAAATTTTCTCTGTGAGTAAATTAATATCGATGGCGCCTGTTCAATTTGTATGTGGTGGTTGTCGGAAGAAATACACGACAAATGACCACTTAAAATGCAAAGAGTGTTCAAAAATTTATGATCTTGATTGCGCGAATGTACCAGTACCACAGTTTCGAAATTTAACCAAGGACAATAAAAATCAATGGAGTTGCTTTGAATGCAGGAGTAAACGGCCTAAGTCAAACAACACCAATACGCCTGTTCGAGCGCTGTCGGGGTGTTCACCTCAAGATACTGATACAAGTGTGGATAATATAACAATCCGTAAGTCAAATCGAGAGAGAGATTTTTCCTCGCCTCCTGGGACAGATGGAAGTTCATCTAACTATGATGAGGGATTTTTGATGGCTATAAGCGAGCGAGTTTTGAATTCTATCAAAGGCGAAATGCCTTCAATGCTAACAGCCGTACTACAGAAGGAACTTGCACCCATCCGTAAGGAACTTCAGGATTTCCGCACATCTCTGGAGTTTTTCAATACTAAGTATGAGGATATGAAGAACGAAATTATCACATTGAAAGACGAAAGCGAGTGTTATAAGAAAGCATCTATTAAATTAGAAAACACCGTGAAGGAACTTTCCGAACGCCTAAATAACACCGAACAATATTTACGTGAAAATAATTTAGAACTTCAGGGTGTCCCTGAGTACAAAGGTGAAAATTTGCTAAATATTTTGAAGCAGTGCTCCGCTGTTGTCGACTCGAAAATGAAAAATGAAGATATTGTCACTTGTGTTCGAGTTGCTAAGTTAAACAAAGAAAGCAAATTTCCTCGCACAATCATAGCCAAGTTCCGGAATTCGGGATGTCGTGATCAGTTTTATTCAGCAGTTTATAAATACAATAAGGCGAACCCTAAAGCGAAGCTCAACACTTCATTGCTGGGACTAGCAGGTGACATGCGCCCGGTTTATGTATCTGAGCACTTATCTCCAGCAAATAAGAACTTGCATGCAGCGGCAAGAAAAAAGGTTAAAGATCTTGGGTATCAATTCATTTGGGTTCGTGGGGGCCGCATTTACGTCAGGAAATGTCCGGATTCTCCACATATTCAAATTAAGAATGTCGACAACTTGGATTTAATCAATTAATTTCTTTTTTCTTTCTGGAAATGCTTGTTGTGTAACTGACCTGTCAAAAATGGCTATTACCATATACTACCAAAACATAAGAGGTATGAAAAGTAAAACTCTTGATATATATAACACAATTTTGTGTAATAGTTACGAAATCATTTGCCTTACGGAAACCTGGTTAGATAGCACAATACTTTCATCAGAGTTATTCGATGATAGATATGTGGTTATACGCAGAGACCGTAGTGACAGTTTCTTAAAGAGGTTTAATAAGCATCATGGTGGTGGAGTTTTGATGGGAATATCAAGAAAACTTAACTTTACTGTAAAAACTGATTGGCAATCCGATTTTATTGAGGATTTGTGGGTGCAGGTTGTCATTAATAAAAATTCTGTCATTAATCTATGCACAGTATATCTACCTGAATATTTACCTACTAGGGAGTTTCTAAATTTTACTAATAATTGCAATGACATACTTACATCACATTCATCTCAGATCACATGTATCGTCGGTGACTTCAATTTGGGAAATTTGGCTTGGTTGGGGGATACAGTATCTCCATTGAGTGGGCACTGCGATAAATCTGAAGCTCTTTGTGACTTGTTTTACACAAATAATATTTCACAGTTAAATAACATTGCAAACCACAACAACAGAATATTGGATTTAGCTATAACCAATCACCCTAATTCTTTTTCACTACGTTCAACAGTTCCTATTAGTCGTCTTGACGCACACCACCCACCTTTTGAGCTTGAATTCATGTCTCAAACTACTTTGTTGCAGCCAAGTGATCGTGTTGAGAAATTGTGTTTTTTCAAAACGGACTTTGAAAGTTGTATTGCAAAACTTCAAAAAATTGACTGGTAACGACACGCTGACACACTCAATTGTGATGATCTGGTCCATTTCTTTTATAACCAACTGTACTTAATAATTGATGAGCATACACCAAAAAAGATATTCCGCAATTCTAATTACCCTATTTGGTTCTCGGCAGGCATAAAAAGGCTTGTCAAGCTCAAAGCCAAATACCATAAACGATACAAGCGTTTTGGAAACCCTAGGGACTTTGATGCCTTTTCAATGTTAAGATCACGCGCTAAGGTTATGATAGAAAACTGTTTCAATCTTTACATTTCTAATATCGAAGGTGATCTTACTACAAATATAAAATCTTTCTGGAGATATGCGAAAAGCAAAAATGTCACTAATACAATACCAAATTCTATGTATTTCCAAGATCGTATAGCTACGGCAGGTGACGAAATTGTGAATCTCTTTGCGGAGTTTTTTGCATCAATTCATAAAGATTCTAATACGACTGCAACATTTACTGAGCCCGAATTCTTCTCACACAGTTACTGTTTGAGTCATGTACAGGTAACGACAGATTTGGTCTTAACTAGATTAAAAAACGTCGATTTATCTAAAGGAGCCGGACCCGATGGCATCCCATCCGTATTCATTCGTCTTTGTGCTTCTGCACTGGTTGCTCCATTGACCTTAATATATAATAAATCGTTAAAAGAAGGAGTATTCCCTTCTTTATGGAAGATTGCTAAGATTACTCCAATATATAAATCTGGCGATAAAAGGGATATAATGAATTACAGGCCTATTAGTATATTAAATTGGTTTGCAAAGATTTTCGAATCACTTATTTACCGACATCTTTACAACCACGTCAAACCCCACCTTAACCCCAGACAACATGGTTTTATTGAGGGCAGATGTACTGAGTCAAATCTGCTGCAATATAGCACTTTTTTAAGTGACTCGTTCAACAGAAGGATACAGGTTGATGCTATATACACAGATTTTGCGAAAGCCTTCGATCGTGTTTGTCATCGGAAACTGCTGACTAAAGTCTCACGTATGGGCATCCATGGTAATCTTCTACGCTGGCTAACATCATATATTGAAAATCGGTCGCAGTTGGTAGTCTTGAGAGGTTATGATTCTGTGCCATATACTCCAGATTCAGGTGTCCCGCAGGGATCCAATTTAGGACCTCTTTTATTTATAATATTTATAAATGACCTTCTTAATATAATTGAGTGTGACTGTCTCGCTTATGCTGATGACATCAAAATTTTTAAGCGTATTGTTAGTCCTGACGACTGTGAGGCATTGCAAAAAAACCTTAGCGTAGTGTCTTAATGGTGTGATCACAATGATATGTCCCTCAACATTAATAAATGTCAAGTAATTTCGTTTACAAAAAATAAATTGCCAGTGCATTATAATTATTCTATAAAAGGAACTGTATTATTACGCGTTAAAACGGTCCGTGACTTGGGTGTATATTACGATTCGGCACTCACATTTCGACCTCATTTCGACCATATTTGCAATAAGGCCAATCAAATGCTTGGTTTTATAACCAGAACTGCTAGGCCATTCAGAAAAATAAAGTCTTGGGTAATTCTTTATAATGCACTGGTAAGGTCTCGAATATTGTTCTTCAATATGGTCCCCTATTTACGCCGTTCACATTGACAGAGTAGAAGCCATTCAACGCAAGTTTGTTCGTTGCCTGTCGGCGAAGTGTGGTTTACGCAAAAAAGTACACGATTATTTTGATCGTCTTCGTTATTTTAATATGATCACCTTGGAGAGACGTAGATATATTAGAGATCTCTGTGCTCTTCATCGGATTGCCAATGGATCATCCGGCAGTTGCCTGATTGAAGCTCTAAAGTTTAAGGTGCCTACACGGTCTGTGCGTAAATCACAATTATTTTGTGTACCCTCCACCACAAATAATGTTTCGCTGAACAGCCCATTGAACAGAATGTGTTCATACTTTAACAATATTTGCTCTGATCTTGACATGTTTAACTGTAGCTTACCTTCTTTCAAGAATTCTTTGTTTAAAATTTGTGCTGAACACTAAAAATTATAAAATTAAAGTTATTCCCCTCTCTGCAAAGCCTATTATAATTGAGATATTTGTGAATTACATAATATTTAACTCTGTTATAATGATATAATATTAAGATATTTTTTTTTTGTTCGATGTCTATTTATGTTTGTAAATGTTGTGCACAATTGTAATTGGGCACAGGCATGCCCATAGTTTTTCATGTCTTTTTGTACCTGTGTTGTTTTTTTTGTCTGATGCCTGTTATTGTGCCATTATAAATAAATTAATTAATTAAGAAGTCAGGTCAACATATTGGCTACATATTATCACGCTATTACCTACGGGGAACGAGCAGTGAACCTTTATTTCTAACTTCACGCGTACGCAGCCGCTATATCCATAAAATACACTTACCTGAGCGTTATTCGCGTCCGGGTGCAGAGATATATTGGGCACGGGGTAGTCTTGGTTTTCGAGCCACATAGGCGCGCTCAAATACGTCACCGACCCACTGGTGTCCGGGTAAAGATCGGCGTGGTACTCGCGGTAACTCTAACAATCACCAATATATATGTTATTTACATAATGGCGAGGAGCTTGATGGTGGCGATGGTTAGCGCGTTTGGTTGCGATCATTGAAGTTAAGTAACTTTCGCTGTGGTCGGTCATTGGATGGGTGACCAAAAATGTTCCATCTCAAGCTCCGTGCTTAGGAAGGCACGTTAAGCCGTTGGTCCCGGCTGCATCTGCAGTCGTTAGCACCCGCCAATCCACACTGGGCCCGCGTGGTGGGTCATGGCCCAATCTCCCTATTCCATCCATAGGGATGGCCTGTGCCCCAACAGTGAGGACATTAATAGGCTGATGATGATGATGATAATGATGTTATTTATTATATATTTTTTTTTTATGTATTTAACTGCTGCCTTGCAGCCTAAGAAATACTATAGGAAATTCGACACTGCTATTAAGATCAATGTAGAACAATCGGTCAGTGCATCCGCCCAGATAGCGGGTTCAAGTCCCGTCTGCTTTCTGGGCCGCGTGGATATTTTTGCGAGCAAAATTTTCTTTACATTTATATAATATTGTAAGTTTACCCAGTGCAGCACCCACTTGCTGAAAATTTGCTAAATCTAGATTTAACTAAACAAAAACGACAAAACCTCAATGTTACCCTAAGTCTTAAGTGAGTTGAGATCAATATATATTCCTTGAATGGGTACACAAAAATACATCATCTTTGTTTGAATAAGAAACGCTCCCCCCCCCCTGATGTTAAGCGTAAGTGATGTCCAGTCGCGAAGTTAGATGACGCTGCAGAAGGTAAGCCACTCCAGCCATCCTCACCTTGCCGGTCTGAACCCAATCCGTTACCCTGCGGGGATCTGCCCCGCTAGCATGAGCACCACGATATGCTATATAACACGTTTTCATCACGCCCAATAGGGTATTTAACAGTATTAAAAATAAAGTGCCAATTGTGTTCACCTGTGTTTGGATTGGAATGAATATTGGCAGGGGTTTTTACTATTTTTACAAAAAAGAAACATAATTTTACTAAAAACCCACCAAAAAGATAATAGTTTTCTTATCTATTGTCACGTGATCCAAAACGCTTGGGATTGGCAAAGCCTAAAATGTCGTCACTCGCAAGTAAACTTCCGGTTAAAGTGACATTACATTATATCGTTTGACGTTTTAATAACAGTCGTGTGACGTCACACACTAGTAAAACGCCATATTGTCGAGGAAAAACGTTTTGCTGCCGCAGCTTGAAAATGGAGTTTTTGATTTGGTTATTTTTACTGAAATACACAACAGAATGATGAATATCCACTTTTTACGGACTCCATAAACATAAGTCAATAACGTGAGATCGTTTTCTAAAACTTGTCATATACCCTATTGTTAAATTACTATAGAGTTTGACAGTTATGCGCAGATAATAAAAAAATAAAAATAACAAAAAGTAAAAACGTAATTTAAATTGTGGTACTCATGCTACGGGGGCTGGAATCCTGCTCACCAGCAGAAACACAACGCCACCAAAAGGTAGGTAATTTCACTGTGCCCTATCTCTCACAAAATCTCGCGAACTCCTCCGCGCTTCGGAAGGCACGTTAAGACGTTCTTCCCGGCTACAACTGCCCAAGTGGCGGGTCATGGCCCAATCTCCCTATGCCACCTATAGGGAAGGCCAGTGCCCCAGCGGGGGGCATTAATAAGCTGATGATGAGCAGTGCAGCCGAGGATGCCTCCAATTAACCAGCTTGTACAAACTAGAAAATTAGAATAATGTTTGCGTGACCCTACAAACCAAAGACAGATTGTCTTTGCGCAAACAAAATTCTATCTAAAAGGGGACAGGGCATTGTGAAAGTAGAAGATGTGTCACAGACTTTAATAAAATGGTGGGTAATTTAAAAAATCCTATTGAATAACTATTTATCTTTATCATTTGCCTGTCTGGTCTCTATTTTATTTGAGGTCAACGCAATATGTGTTGCCTCCTATTTTCTTTTTTTTATATCTACGTAGGCAAATGACTTAATAATTAATTAATAACGATCATTTATTTACACGTAAATAATAAATTAATGTATAAAAGGCACCAACAACTTACCTTTCTAGGAACTTGATACATAATTGGCACAACAGAAGAGCCCGTGAGTTGCAGAACTCTGTTCACTTCACCTTCCATGACGCGAAGTGCTCGTTTCGGTACCAAGCAAGCACCTTTGGTTTGTTCACCTACAGTAAAAAATTAGGAACTATTATTGTATAATTGTGGAAATTAAGCTTTCGCAATAGACTATTAGACAGTAAGAAAAATAATGTACCAATTGTTGGCATCTGTGTTTAATATGAATATTAGCAACGATTTTACTTTTTAGAAACAACAAATAATTAATAACTTTTCTATAAAATTAAATATAAATTATTTTTTCCTTGCACCGTTGCCTACCCTGACCCAAACCCCTACCCCGTGGAGCCCTGGAACCTTACCTGGAGGTTACTTCCCCAGACAAGCGCTTAAATTCGAGCCGAATTCCGCTATGCCCTATTTTTCTCAATAATGAGTATTAACATATTCATCCATACAACTCACCTGAATGCCTCAATCCCTCGATCAAGAATGGCTCCCTATCAGTTAACTCCATGTATAAAATGGTCGTATCTCCCTTGCCGGCCAAAAACAGCATATTAGTATCAGAGTCAAACAACGGCATCAATATTCCGGTTGAGCAATCAAGTTCCAAAGTCTTCTGAGTTTGTGAGAGGTTGCGTACATCCCTAATCATTATCTGGCGCAGACGAGCCGAGTCGAAACCTGTATGAAGAAAGTGTTTTGATTAGTGTTTAAGCTAACACATTCTTTTTTGTTATTCACACCAATTATTAATCTTATGCTAAGCGAAACTACACATTGAGCCACCACATTTTGTTTAGTACCGGTGCTAACCGAGCCACAAGCTGCGGGAGTCGCCGTAGCTAGGTGCAGAGTATATTTCTCATAAAAACGTACAGTTTTCTAATGAGATTTACAATTTTCACATTCTAATATTGCTTTGTGACAGCTTCTGCAGTATCGGTTTAGTATACAAATATTTACATTATTGTGACTTATTGTACAGCTTTGTGATAACAATATTGTTAGAATTTACCTATTATAAAATTTTAAAGTTGTGTGATATAATTCTCTTTTAGTTTACTTTAAAATGTATTTTTACAATTGCAGTGTTTTATTTCATGTGGTAGCTCGTTAAACAGTTGTACTCCCTCCGATAATATTCTTTTCCTCCCATAATAAGTCTGTGTATTCATAACTTGTAATTTGTTTGTTTCTTAAAGATACTTATGGCCGCGTTTTGTCGTAGTATTGTATGTTGATGGTTTTGATTTCGGAAATAAACGGAACAACTGTGTGTGGGGCAACTAGTGGGCGCTAGCTGCTACGATTGTTGGCTGCGTATAGGGCTGCCATCTCTAAAATGTGGCAACCAAGATAAAACGCGTGATAACCCCGGATTTTGAAGCCCAGAACCCGGACAGACCAATAAAAAAAACAGTTAAAAATGTCACAAATCAAGTTTTTTATGTTGATCTAGGCAAAAGAGCTAGCGGTCTACCTCATAATAAATGGTCACTGCTGCCCATGGACACTTGCAGCACCTAGGGCCACTCATGCGTTGCCGTAAATTTTTAAACCCGGACTACTAATAAAACCCCGCCCGGACGCTCCCCGGACGCCCCGTAAACTAGGACAAATCCGGGGAAACCCGGACGGATGGCAGCCCTAGCTGCGTATAGTGGCTTAACTGGAGCCACTAGTGGTCGCGTTTGGTAGCCGCAATGGCTCAATGTGCGCTTGCTCAAAACAGAGCGTGTTCTTAATATCCAAGGAATTAGCAACTATAACACAATTAGTATTAGATCAATAACCTTATTTTACCTATCCCATATTTTTTTTCTAAAAAGGGATTCAAATCCCAGACAAATTATCCTAATAGATAATATTGATTGACATCCATAGCACAGATAAACAATTTCCAGTTTTCATTTGTGATAAGATAAACAGAACAACTATAGGTACTTACTACAATTTTCATCTAAAGTAGAATTTTAACATGGAGCAAATACAACTTTGTTTGTGATTTGTAAGAGATGTTAACTGGCATGGCTAAAACACTCACTGTTCAGGAGAACTATCATCAAATAGAAAGATGGCTGTGGCTATACTCGAAAATATTTATTGACTAAATGAGTAGCCACTACTCATATATAAATTCTTCCTGAAACTCCGTGGCCTTACCCATTCAAACTGTGAATACAGAGTAATGTCTTTATCTAATTCTATACTAATAATATAAAGCTGAAGAGTTTGTTTGTTTAATTGTTTGTTTGAAATAGCTAATCAAGGAACTACTGGTCTGATTTGAAAAAGTCTTTGTATGTTGGATAGTACATTTATTAAGTAAGGCTATAGGTTATACAACATCACGCTATGACCAGTAGGAGAGGAGAATCCATGAAAAATGTTGCGTAATAGTGGAAATATTCCATTTGAGAGCTTCCGTTGCGTGCGCTGCGTACGGAATTGTGCCCCTCTAAAAGTTCTATAAAAATGTCCGCGACAGTATATGTCTATCTTTTAAGTTTGACTCATTGTAACCTTTTTTCCAAAAACTGTGTCCCAGCGAAATTTGTGTCGACTGTAAGGCGACACAAAGTTTCGTTTTATAATATAACTATTAACATGGAGGAAAATCTACTGATCGCTACCTCTTATGGCAACTATAAGTACTATAATGTTAGTGACCATGAAACTATAAGTAGTAACCCTACCAGTAGTAAGGATCCTGTCCTGATCTCCGAGCCAAACGACCCTGCTGTCCTTGATATTTTGGTGACTGTTCGCAACATTGATGATGGGACTATCTGCTCGTGGGTCAATCACACGCAACTTCTTATCTTTGCAAGAGGTTGCTAGCAATCTTCCATCTTTTTTCCAAGATGTAGACTGTATCACTTCTGCATGGTCTCTATTTACTGTAAAAAATATTGTTTAGTGGTAAGAGTTAAATTTATCAACACAAAGATCTTTACTTTGTTTTGTTGTGCCAACCAACCCAATGTTTATCCAACACATTTGCTTATAGTGGCACGCACTGATCGCAAATTAAAAATAATATTTAAAAAAAAAGATCTTTATACTTAAAAACAGGCCAAGTGCGAGTCGGACTCGCATACAAAGGGTTCCGTACATCAAACCGCGAAAGGAAAAATCATTTGTTTGTTTACGTTACAACTTACAAAGTATGCTATGGATCAATATTTTTAATATTTGTTATTAAAATACAGCATAATATGGGACATCATCTACCAAAATTTTACATTCCTCACTAGTCAATTTAGAGATAGAAAATTACAACATTGAATGCCCTCCATTTCTTTGTTATTGAAAATAAAAAATATGTTTATATCCTACTTAAGGAACTCCAGCTCTACACAATTACGCATTACATGTTGGGATAAAAAAGAAAGAAAATATTTTCTTCCTCTTTTCACGTATGGGAGACACCCATTAAAAATATGCAAATGGGATTCCATTTTTAGCCTTAAACAGTAATTAAAATAAGTGATATTCTTTTCTCACACATTATAAAGGTTTCAAATAGAATGGTTAGTAAAATTTGATTTGATCAGAAAGAAGGTTTTTGTGAAGACATTATTTAACGCACCAAAAACTTCCTTTTGTTTAGTCAGATCCCATAGCGCCAATTCATGTCCTGAGGCCACATGAATCAGCCCATCTGCGACGGGGTGAAAGCCCACATTCTCCACTCTCCGCTGCTTCTGTGATAGTGTACATTCTGGGGTTGAAAGGGACTCCTTCAACCCCTCCGGAGGAATGTGCCATACCTTTACCTAGAAATAAAACCCACATTCAAAATACTATTCAAGAAAATATTTAAGTATTAGATTATTAACCTTTAACTATGGACGTGCGGTCTCACAGACCGCTTGCAGTTTGTGATTCTTGTGCCCCCCTCTTCCCGTGTATGCCAAGCCTATGCCGGCCTCAGTAGCTTCGGTTTTAGTGGCGAAACGACCGTTGAGAGTGAAGTTTACGTCGCCGGCTGAATGTTGAGTGAGTAATTTTGCTTTATATTTTGAGTGCGGTCTGTGAGTTTGTGTTATAAATTAACACTGACGGACATATTGTTTGTTTTAGATTTTGTTTACTAAAACGTCAAAAAACGAAACATACCGTATGTTGGGACTCTGAAAAATAATAAAAGAGAAATACTAAATTTATTTCGGGCACAAATGTCTAGAGAGATTGGTTCAACTTATTCGGATTTACGAACGACAAAACTATGTGTTCTCGTGTGCCAAAGAAGAATAAAGCTGTGCTCTTGATATCATCTATGCTTCGTATAATGCTATTGATGAAGATAAAAAGCAACCCGAGATAATATATAATCTATAATTCCACCAAAAGTGGGGTAGATGAAACAGACAAAAATGATCAATTTATATGAGCAATCGCCGAACAAGAAGGTGGCATGGTATGGTGATTTTCCAAAAAGTTCTGGACTTGTGTGGAATTAATGCCTACACTTTATTCAATCAACTCCAAGACAAAGAGCTAGAAAGAGGTAAATGTCTGAAGAAATTAGCACGATCCCTGGTGATTCCACATATTCAAAGACGAGTTATAAACCCTCATTTGTTAAATAAATTAGTTATGACGCCGAAACGACTTTTGGACTCTGGTATGACAGCCCAAGAGTCACCAGTGCAAAAAAATACTACTACAACTCGTGTAGGCTGTAAACAGCCAATATGCTTATAATGCTATTGGCAGTCTGCATAGCGGCTTATGTTATGCAAATACTGCCAATAAATATGACCAAGTTGGGTCCTTGTTGAAATTTTTATGTATAGTTTTGAGAAGATTATGTTAAGTTTTTTATATTCTTTGTTCTTTATATTTTATTGTATAAGAAGTTAAACTATCTAAAAAAGTCATTTTCCTGTGGTAATATAAACATATAAAGTGATCTCAAGTTAAAAAGTCTCAAAAGTGCCTTTGATTGTTATATCGTTAGATTTAGTTTAAAACAAATACATTTTTCATTAAAATTACATCTTTTATTTACATTTAGTAACACTTCTATGGGATAACAACAAAAATATATACAATACTTACTCATCAAAATAGAAACCAGCCCGTAAAGATAGCGGACCCTGAGACCGCACGTCTATAGTAGTGTCACAAAAATGGAACGTCCATAGTTAAAGGTTAAGTATAAGAATTAGTATTAAGATTTTTAATTACGTCCAGATTACATTAACTATAGTTTAATGTTAAACTTGTATTGACTGTATTCTGTTAGTTTACTTAAAATAAATTAATAAGTGATTATGGCAGGATTTCATTATGTGACAGTTCTATTAGTCAATAATACAAAAAAATATATAGAGACAAGCTATAAGCTGTGTCTGTATGGCATTGCAGATGTAATACAATATGTTGGCTGTTTAATTTTGGACTATAAGACAAATTTCCTCTGAAACAAAACAAAATTCACTATTCCAAGAATATGTAATGTAATTAAATGTAAATAAGTTTTGCTTTACTTACTAAGAAAGCTGGAAGCTTTCTTAGAAGTAAAGCTTTTATTTAATTCATTAATGGCTTTAAATCTTTTTATATTAAATCCATGCCATAGTCTGCCTGCTTCTCATTGTAATCTTTTAATGCAACAAATATCTACGCCACTTTATTTCGTACATATTTTGCACTGTACTTATCAAGAATATTGTATCTATATATTTTAAAAATTATGAACATATGATTAGAATCCACATACAACAGTAACAGTTGTACATATTCTCAATGTAAACAGTTTACTTTCACTTCAATGACTTTTAAAATATGAAATGAGTAATGATAAGATACAAAGTAATTAGTCAAACCATCAACTGGCTGTGTTAAGAAATACTTACTTCAATAACATTAAGTAATTTATTGCTTATCTGCTTATCTGGCCTTTAAGTATAATAAATGACAAGCCTTTACCAGCAATTCAATAAGATGCCATTAGAAAATATTGTACCAAAATAAATGTATGCAATATTCTATGTAATAATAGGCCAAGCTATAATCTATGTCCATTCAAGAACTTTAAATCAACCAAGCGACACAGATTCATGAAACAGTTATTTAAATATCTTATCAATGTTGAGATGGACAGAAGTATTTTTCCTCTAAATTCATGTAAACTGAATGCTAGTAACCAAAGAACAGTTTCATTTCTTTCAAATCTCATTTCATAAAATATGCTTTGGAAAGGCAAAATCTACTTCCAATGAATGGTCCAGTGATCATATAGGTTAACAGCAACAATTTATAGCTTGCTGAATTTAAAATAATTCTAGACACTTACCAAAGAGTCCTGGGATCCAGTTAGCAGCAAGCCATCATGAAATGGTGAAAACTCCATGTCAGTTATGGTGTCGGAATGTGCATGGAGCAGCGGCATTGTTTTACTCTTACGTCCACAATCATCAAGGGGCAATACTGCCATACTTGAGCCAACATGCTCCCAATTAAACGCCATGAAGGCAGCCGAAGCACAGATATTGTTCCCATATGTCTGATATGAGCCCACACATACATCTCTGATGCATGCTTCGGGCTTAGGCACAATAGGTGCCGCATTTTTGTATTTTGAGGCTTTAAAACGCCAAGCCATCTTTATCCACTTTTTAAAATGAAAATCAGTCTTCTTTTATTGGAATGTAAAGAATGTGGAATGTGATAAATTTATCTGAAATGAGAACCAAACAGGAAATCCTGTAGGAATGTATTCGAACACAAAGAAACAGCTTAGTTTAGTTTTTTTATTTAAATTTTAGTATATTCTGTTTATTACTATCTACAATATGGTTTACTTGAAACTGTATTATTACAATAATTTTAATTGTAACACAACAAAAATCTTTGTTTATGGAAAATTAAAGTATTTCATCTATAGAAGTTGTATTTAAAAGAAAGAAGGCTCCAAAGGTCTATCTGTAAATACAGTTAACATAAAAACAATGGTTTCGATGAAAAAGGACTGAATATTTTTGAAACACCTTTTGTTTTGAATACTTGGCCGGTGGCACCACCGGAAATGGCCTATATTAAGAATAACTCTAAACCATGTGCATTTTATTCAAAATAATTGAAAATATTGTCACTTTAACAATGTTTAAAAAGACACTACTCACGTTATCACGTAAAAAATATTCAGTAATCCCAATTTTAGTTAGACACTCCCCCTAAACGTCGGCCATTTCAAAACGCCATTAGTGCGGCCGATCGATACGATAAACATTGCTAAACGTCAATGTCCATGATTCCATTACTATTTACTTATCGATTATATTCGACTGTAGATTCTAATTATTAAAAAATGCTTTTATTGGAAGGCTTATAAAAAATAGAAAATGCAGAGTGTATTCAACAAACTGATTACCTACTACAGAAGCAAAACAGACATTTTCGAGTACCTAAAATAACAACAAAAATGGTTGCCTGTAAAGTCGGTTTTACGGGCGAAGATTTTACGTGACAACGTCTTTTTCTCGGTAGAATATTTATTGATATGAATATAATTAAATTGCACAATAGGAACAAGGAATTGAATGAAAATAAGAATTGCACAAATTTTAACTGTAGAAATATATTTTGTTTACTAAAACATTGTACATGTAAACTTAAACTTAACACGAGAGACTCATCGTAACGTTACCGAGCGTTACACTTTTTCATAAATGACTCCCAGCCGCAACCTAATTTAAGACGTTGTCACGTCAATAAAACACCGACAAAAATGTTCTGCCACTTTACTTGGTGTTTGAGAGAGACTATAAGGACTCAATTTGTAGAAGATCTAATCCTGTCCAACTCCAACGGTGGAACTGGTACATTTTACATCTCCGAAACTGATTCCTGCTACGGAGGTATGGACGATATAGCTTCTGAATTGGAGGATGTGTCTTTTGACTCACTCATATCCATTAGATAAGACGAAAATCTTGTCGAATGACCATTTTGTATGTGGTACATACTTTGTAGTGCAAGCGTTTTCGCTGTCGAGCCCTCCTATATATACTTTCACACAAAATCTGTAGATATAACTTTTAGGTAAGGTAATCTGTTCTTTAATAAACTGTTTGCGACAATTTGCAAAAAGCCTATCACTAAGTACACGGATTCGTGAAAAATATATTAGTCGATTAAGAAAATAAATAGTTATTTTTAAAGGACAACACTAGACCAGTACAAGCTTCCAAAAGTATTCAAACAAAAGCGCGGGAAACGTTTAACTTGGTAGACGCGTTTTATGGTGAAAAACTTTATATATTATTTTTTTCGATCAGAAGGGTACATTTTGTATATTTTTGTAAATATTAATTATTATTTAATATATTGTGTACATATTTGGATCATTGGTAAGTCCTCTTACTAATTTTTTACCGTCATGAACGATCCCCCCGATGACCCGGGGGGATTTGTTCCCCCGGCAGGTAATTTTGTCACTGTGCAGTCGGAATCAGGAATGGATACTGATGCATCCACCTCCAATAGGACATTAAAGCGGAGTCGCCGCTCAAATATTATTTGTAAACACTGCAACAAAAAAAGAAGGAGACATGGTAACTCTGAAGCTAAAATAAATGGTTGTTCATGTACATCTGAATCAGATCTTACTCCTCCACCAGTTCCATTACCCATGCCAGAGTCTTCAAAGCCCACTACAAATATAACTGCTAATACAACAAATGAAAAGAGTTTACCTTCATCTACCCCAATTGGCCGGAAAAATTACTGTGAGACTGACGTAGCTCCTTTCATTCTTCACGTCCAAAAAATATTAACATCCCCTGATGATAAATTCACGATTCACCCTGTGAAGTTTGGCAATTTTTTAAAGAAAAATAGATTCCCAAATATTGTTAACGGAAGTGTCAAGAAAGTAGGTCGCAATAAAATTGCTATTGGTTTTACTAATTATAAAGATTGCAATTCCTTTCTGAATAACAAGTCACTTGAGGAGAACAAATTTAAAGCATTTATACCTACATTTAATGTTACACGAATGGGATTGGTAAGAGGTGTTCCTGCTGAGTGGTCTCCTGAAGAGGTCATGGCTAATTTATCTGTGCCTGTAGGATGTGGTAATATAATAAAAGTCCGAAGAATGAATTTCAAAACTTTTGTTGAAGGCAATCCCACATGGAAGCCATCTCAGACAGTCATTATCACATTTGATGGACAAGTCCTTCCAAAAAGAGTTTTTCTATGCTATAATGCTTTAAATGTAGATTTATATATATTCCCCACAATACAATGCTATCATTGCTGTCGTTTTGGTCACACAAGGGCACAGTGCAGATCAAGTCCTCGATGTTACAAGTGTGGTAAAGACCACTCTGGTGACTCTTGTGGCACTGCAGAGGAGGATGCTAGTTGTTGTTTATGTACTGGTTTCCATTTTGCTACCAACAAAACTTGCCCAGAGTTTATGAGGCAAAAACAAATTAAAACATATATGGCCCAAAATTGTGTGTCTTATGCAGAAGCTGCCAAGGTACATCCTAATGTCTCCAAATCATATGCTGACACCTTAATATCAAAACCTTCTTCTAATCCCATTATTTACAATAAAAACTATAAAATGCCCCTGACTCAACACAACAGATCACCCTCAACATCATACAAGAAAACAGTGTTTCTAAAACCCCAAAAAAATAATTACCACAATATTGGCTATGATAGAGATGCACACAATGCTATTATAAATGATTTTGCAATCCCTGCCCCATCAAATGGATGTGCTCTATTAACATCTAAGCAACAAGATAATGACTCACAATTAGAATTAATTTCTGCTCTATTTAATTTATTAGCTAAATACCAATTGATTTCACCGTCCAACGTTGCCCCTTTACTTGAAAATATAATACAACATTCCAATAATGGATCTTTGCAATATAATTCAGTGGAACATTCGTAGTATCATAAGTAATAAAAGTGACCTTATATATCTCACCAATAAATATAAGCCATTTGCCTTTGCTTTGTCAGAAACTTGGCTTAAACCTGATAAATCTTTTAATATTAATGGATATTGTACAGTGAGAGATGACAGACTAGACAGAAACGGTGGAGGAACAGCTATTCTTATTAAGAACACAATTCCATATATAAATATAACTATTCCTCCACATTGTGATGACATCTCTATAGTAGCTATAAGTTTTAATAATATTTGTTTAGTATCAGTGTATATACCACAACCTTCATCTTACATTTTAAGTGATCTAAACAACTTGCTCTCTTCCCTTCCTAAGCCTATCTTAATTCTAGGAGATTTTAACTGTCACCATACTGTCTGGGGAAGCTCTCAGTGTAGCTCTTTTGGTAGAGAATTAGTGGACATACTGGACACACATAATTTATGTTTCCTTAACACAGGTAGCCCAACACGATGTACAGATCCAAATCAGAATATAAGTACTGTAGATTTATCTATTTCTTCTCCAAGCTTAGCCTCTTCTTTGTCTTGGGAGACTCTTACATATACATATGGTAGTGACCACTATCCAATAATCATTGGATTTCCAAGTCATCAAGTAAAGCACTCCCAAAAGTTATGTTTGAGAAAATATAAATATTCTATTAGAGACAACACTACTTGGAAAACTTTCAAGGATAGAGTTGACGCTAAGATTAATCAACTACCAAGTGTGAACAGTAGTAATGATATTGCTTGTGCACAAATTCTGACTGACATTTTAACAGAAGCTGCCTCTGAAACTTTTCCTTCCAAGGCAAATACTTTAAGCAGAATTCCATCTCCACCTTGGTGGGACAGCGAATGCACCCAAGCAATTAAAAAAAGGAAAAATGCAGAAAGACTCTATTGTAAAAATATGACATATACTAACTATGAAATACTATGTAAACTAAAATCAGAAACAAAAAAGTTATTCAAAAATAAGAAATTTGAAGGCTGGAAGCGTTTCTGTACTTCTATTTCTCCTAATGTCCACCCTTCAATAGTCTGGAATAATATTAAACGTTTTAGATCTGCCTTTAACAAAACTTCTTTTTCTACTCTTCCTCCTACTCTTGCGAACGACTTTCTTGATAAATTAGCACCGCCATGGGTCCCGGAAAATAATTTAACCCTACAAGCCTCCTCGTTAACGTTATCCACACATTACTTAGAACGTCCATTTACTTTATATGAACTTAAAGGTATTATCAACAGCGTTAGAGACTCCTGCCCAGGTGATGATGGAATTCCATATAGTTTCTTTTCAAATCTTAGTGATACAGTACTTTTAGGTTATTTAGATATCGTAAATAGTTTCATGATAACTGGAAACGTCCCGTTACCATGGAAATCTCAGAGAGTATTGCCAGTATTGAAACCTAATAAATCACCAAATGTTGCTGATAACTATCGTCCTATAGCGTTATCTACTGTTTTAGTCAAGTTGGCTGAACATTTAATAAAAACCCGTTTGGAATGGTTTTTAGAAAATAAACAGGCTCTTTCTTACAGTCAATATGGGTTCCGTAAAAGCAAAAGTACTATTGATAATATTAGTATATTCACCATAGACGTTCGATTAGCTTTTACGTCCAATAAATCAGTAGTCGCTGCTTTCCTTGATATAAAGTCCGCGTACGATA